TGGCACTGCCAGGCAGCGAGGAGCAAGGGGAATTACAGCAGTTTGGTCCTGTCAGTGCTGGTTTGCAGAGGGAAGTATTGGCTTCTTTATCTTCTTTATCACTTAATAGCAATTTTTTTATTTAGGGCAAAAATAAACTATATAAACACAATAGAGGTGGCTGTTGTGATTTTATTTATTTTTTCCATTTCTGTCCATCTCTATAGGTTTTAGAAACCCAAACTAGGTGGCTTTAGAATTAAAGCAGTTTGGTCCTGTCAGTGCTGGTTTGCACAGGGAAGTATTGGCTTCTTTATGTTCATCACTTAATGGCAATTTTTTTATTTAGCGCAAAAAGCCCTATATAAACCCAATAGAGGTGGCTAGGAGGTGGATGTTGCTGTGATTTTATTTATTTTTTCCATCTCTCTGGGCTTTAGAAACCCAAACTATGTGGCTTAAGAATGAAAGCATTTTAAGTCCTGTCAGTGCTGGTTTGCAGAAGGAAGTATTGGCTTCTTTATCTTCTTTATCACTTAATGGCAATTTTTTATTTAGGGCAAAAATAAACCATATAAACCCAATAGAGATGGCTATGAAGGGGCTGCTGCTGTGATTTTATTTTTCCATTTCTATCCAACTCTATGGGTTTTAGAAACCCAAACTATGTGGCTTAAGAATCCTGTCAGTGCTGGTTTGCAGAGGGAAGGTATTGGCTTCTTTATCACTTAATAGCAATTTTTTCATTCAGGGCAAAAAATAAACCATATAAACCCAATAGAGGTGGCTGTTGTTGTGATTTTATTTATTTTTTTCCATTTCTGTCCATCTCTATGGGTTTTAGAAACATAAACTATGTGGCTTAAGAATTAAAGCAGTTTAGTCCTGTCAGTGCTGGTTTGAAAAGGGAAGTATTGGCTTCTTTATCTTCTTTATCACTTAATGGCAATTTATTTATTTAGGGCAAAAATAAACCATATAAACCCAACAGAGATGGCTATGAAGAGGCTGCTGCTGTGATTTTATTTTTCCATTTCTGTCCATCTCTATAGGTTTTAGAAACCCAAACTAGGTGGCTTTAGAATTAAAGCAGTTTGGTCCTGTCAGTGCTGGTTTGCAGAGGGAAGTATTGGCTTCTTTATCTTCTTT